TTAGATCATTTAGTCATTCCACAAGGCAAACAAACAAGGTGTGCACACTGTCATGAGCGCGCGACTACTAGATGTAGAAAATGTGATGTCGGCCTTCACGTGAAATGTTTTGTACTATTTTCAATATTTTTTAATTATTATTCTTATAGCTACCTTTATTCCTATTGTACTATGTATAGTACAACCTAAAAAACTAACTGTTTATGTATTTTTGTTTAGAATAAATTGAAAATACCTCCAAAGTGTCGTCTTTTAATAAGGTTTTTTAAAAATAATAAAAAAACTTTTTTGCAACTCTTTAGGCATAAATGGGTTAATATGGTAAAGTAATGTTCTGGCGACATAAGATTATGTTTTTGGGCTCCTGCCTTCAGCAGTTGACCTACTTGAAAGTCGAATTCACCTTCCTTAATTAATAACAACACCAACTAAAATATCCACAATTCACAAGCACCAGCCAGATAAACTTCAAAACAAAAGGAAGAACATAACCCTACTTAAAATTCTGGTCATTTAGAAATCAGCAAAACTAGTTCTGTACAATTCGAAATGCACAGAACTAGTTCTGCTCATTTTGTAATGCTCAATAGCCGAATAAATGTAATATTTCGGGTTTGGGGAAAATTTTTAGCTCATAACTAGTTTTGTACATTTTTTTCGGGGAATGTCCGAATTCGAATATTGAGCGTAACATACAGGGATACACTACTTTATCTTTCCACTTTGTCTACCTACTTTTCTTTTTCTTATTTTTATTTTTGTTCATGTATAGAGTTCAACTTTGATAGTTTCTCTCGCACCGTGCGGTCAAGTGTAAAAGAGGTAGTAAGATATCTATTATTATTATCATTATTATTGTTATTATTATTATTATTACGCCTGTGCTACATGTAAAATTTTATATACGGCGAGATAAAGTCGGAGACTTGGAACAGGTTTTAAGTGGAATTAAATATAAATATAGATTGACCCTACTATTATATCATTGGTATTTGCGTCATTGCCTATGAGTGAATAAATAAGGACAGTTTACCTCCATCGCTCTGGAGCTGGAGCATAAAGAAGTCCATGAAGTGAAGTTTCAGAGAGCATCAAGTATTTCAATACTTACGACTCCCAATGCGAATACATGCGCAATCGAGTCATACATACAAACAACTAATATACGAGTATATGTTTAGTGTCTAATTTAGGTGCTTCAAAACGGTACATTTGGTTAATATTTATTTACCCGTGTTAAAAACATTCAGTTATTGCATTTTGGAATTGTTAATTATTTTTTAGACCCAAATCTAATTTGGGCACTGCAAGTAGGTCAGATAGAAAGATTCATTTTATCAGCAATTTTTGGCAGTAGCAAGAGCGTCTTCGGAAGTAGGTAATCATCTGTCTGGGAAAAACTTTTTATCATCTCTAACCATACGTTCCCTTTGTTTTCCCTTTAACTGCAAAAAAAACCTCAACGGTCATAACTCATTCATTCATAACAATCACAGCACGTGGCCCGACGTGGCGTCTTCCATTCTCATTCTCATCCCTCCCGATGGTGGATCCCGCGTGGTGGAAGTCGTATCTGTCCCCCGGAGCTATTTTCGGACCGCCGAGAAAACTCTTATCGCCTATTTCCTCTCGCCAAAACGGCATAAAATGATACATATTTTAGGTTGTAATGATTTACGGCCACAGCCATAATACATGTTTACGAGCAGCCGCCGGCTTCTTTTACGACTCTGTACAAGCCAGTCTAACAAATAATGGTACACGAACGTAGAAAAAAGGATGGGCAGCAAACCGGCGGATAGGCTTTTCTTTGCACTCAAACCATTGTCACCTTGACCGAATTGTGTCAGGAAAAGTTTCCTCAAGCCTGCGAACTTGTGTTACGCCCAGTATAAACGGAATATCCTATACAATCGAAAACAATAATTCTTTTTCGTGGTCCAGCTAGGGATACAAATATCGTAAAGATAAACATCTATGTAGCGATATAACGATACAACGGAAAAAGGTGCTGACAAGGAGGTTGACTATCAACTATGTGATCAATTAGTAAAGAATTATATTCGCCACAAGAAAAAAGTTGGCTACGGACATGTATAACAAATTAATTAAATGGATCATGTCTGACAAACAGACTCATACAACTAGTTCATTGTCCCTACATATTTGTCAACATTGCGGTCTAGCCTACCGCTCTATAGACAGTACCGACCACCCAGTAACGTGGGAACTACGCCTGCCGCACTACTAGCAATTTTTATTTATTTTTTTGCATTCTGCCCGTAGCTTCTCCGCCACTGTATCAATATTCGAAAATTACGAAGCCTTTCCGTCCTTGGCATAGTAGTAACTGCATGTTAAGAAGTTTATCAAAATCGGAGCCGACTGATTAAACGGGCCAAGGATTAGAGCGACAGACAGGCCGATAGACGGATACGAGTGACATAGTTTTAGACATGTCATATAGCATCCAAAAAATATAATATCTCATTTTCGAAATTTTCCGCCGGTGGCGCAGGAAGGAAAACAACGATGTAAAGAATCATCACCTGGAAAACATCGATGTATGTATGTAATGAGCAAAAGAATATCTAAACTAAGTTTGAAGTATTGGAAACAAATTTATTTTAGTTCCATCTGGAAACGTCGCCTCGGATAACTAACTCAAGCAGACGTGGCACCGTGGTAGCGTAGCGTAGTCAGAGCATAGAAAATAATATGCTGTTATGCGGCAGAAATACGTATGATTCCATACCAGAACACTCATCGCGGTTCGCGCACGACGCCAGCAGCAGCCGCGGCCGATGAGTATGTGATCCGTCTGCCGAGGATATTTTTCGAAGCTTTCAGGGCTAAATGAAATCTATGATATGTTAAATATGTACGATAGGTGCGTCGAATTACCAAGGTTGCGAGCGTATAAATGTACCAGCATCAAAAATATTTGACGAACCCTCCCTACCCCCTTAAAGCCCAGGTGTTTTTCTCTGCTGCCACTGGAGCGATTTTGAAAAACGACAAAGTTTTTGCGTCCTTGGCCTATGCCAATATTCTGTGAAAATTTCAACGAAATCAGAGCCGTACCTCTCATAGGTTATAGGATTAACGGACAGACCGACAGAAATGAGTGACATGGTTTTTCGTGATGTAGATGCCATATAACATCCAAGAAACATATCTCATTTTCGAAAATTTTCGCGATTACAGTACTTCCCCGCCAGTAGGCGTGGGATGCAAAATGAAATTACAATTCATGCATAAACAGCCACGGCAGTTTATTTATCTTTATCCTTAACCTTGAGTAACCTAGTAACCCTGTTTTAAAATTTTATCAATGTCTGAACGACACTTTATTGGAAAGCCCAAAGGTTACTGAACAAACAAGAGATATTAGACAGGCCGACAGAAGTGAGTGCCTTTTCATGATAGTGTAGCATTTTCTGGGTTCTTTTGGGTGTGGATTAAAAACGTTGGATTTGACAAAAAAATGCAGTACTTTATTTAATTTAACTAGATGGAACATTTATGTACACCACTATTTATATCCGACTACTTATTTACGAATTATTATGTAGCACCATTCACGCAACTCTACTATACTCTGCTTCCCTTTCCCGGCAGTCGACTTATATAGTCCGCATCGCAGCTACTCGTTGATTCCAGAAGGTTCCGGTGAGCCACATAGCGGCAGTCCAGAATCTTCGAGGTCACTTCGCGTCGATCTCGAATAAGAGTCCCTGGCACGGTCCCCAACAGATGGCGCCAACAGTACTATTCATTCTTGTTATTGTAATTTTTTCATAATTGCAAAATTATATGTAAGACGTGAAATACTACTTTTATGAGAACTGTAGATATAAAAAGTATAGTGATACGTCACTGTTCCCATTTGCTGCCTATTTGTTCAACAGGAAGGACGCAGTTTCCTAAAAATTAACTACCGTACTAAAAGTAAGCCCGAATACGTTCTCAATAGTAAAGAGCGTACGTAATAGCCCATAAAAGCTTGATGTGTGTTAAAAAAATTACGAAAATAATCAGTTTTACGCTTCTGGGAAGGAAGGTGTAAATGAATGATATAACATGACGATATTCATGATCTTTCCGTTAGCTTTGTTGCATTTCTACTTTCAAAGAGCGCTTTCCAGAAAGACCTATCCCCCTATGCATTTTATTGAGCGAGTCCAGCTAGCCGCCAACTAAAAATTTTCAACAGCCACTTAAAGCTAAAATGTAGTACTCATGCAACAAATTCGTTACGCTAACTTGTTAGTTTGATCCATTCAATACAATAAGTAGAAGGAGGGATCCTCTTGAAAAGCACTGTACAGCTCGTGAGGTGTAGGAAGAGATATGAGGATTTACTGGGATTGCGCACACGAGAGGGAGAACGCATTAGGAGCAAAAGGGATGGCATGTACAACACGTGCCATTCCATCTCGAGTGGTATAGTCTGCGTTCTAAATTAATCGAATAATTTCAATAATGGAATACGTATTATGTCAAGCCTGCTTTTTTTAATGGAAGCTGTTGGCATGTGTCAAAAGGAAACCAAAACAATTTATTCCATAAAACAAGTATTGCACGCTATGTACTATAGCTATAAGACTGAAATTGATTGGTACTCATTCTATTTTTTATTGTTGTTAATTTCAATTAATAAACAATCAAATGAAAAATAAGATCAGAAAACTAAAATCGTAGTAGATACAGTAGGCAATATTTTAAAGATTTGTGAAGTTTCACAGAGAATCAAATCCTGAAAGTTCGGAATGGGAATCTGAGCTACTACTTAAACTTAAATCTTCGGTTTCGCTATCGCTATCCTCGTCTAGGTTTATTATTATTTGATCTACAACTAAGTCGAGTGCTGGTTCCATTTCCATATACTGCTTCTCAAAATCTTTGGCATGCTCACATCGCTTTTTCTATTCTTTTGTGGGGTAAGACGAGAAAAAGTCGTCGCAAAGTTTGTCGACAGTCTTGAGATTAAAATCTACATTTTTCTCGGGTACACATATTGTTTCAAAGATGCCCATACCAACTCAATTTAGTTCAAGCCGGGGTGACATGGTAGTAATCTCAAAAAACAGAATGACGTTTTTCAGCCATTATTCTGTCTATTGCATAAGTTATACAGGGTGACTTTGAAGTTGAGTCATTAATTTTCAGATAATGATTGTAGAAGGAAGATAAACCAAAATATGTGTGTAAAAATAAAAAAAAAATAAAAAAAAATGTTTACCTTGTTTTATAAAGTATCCGCCCGACAAGTATTTCAGTGCGGACCTGTATTTGATCGTGAGGTCCCCTCTGAGGTCTTAAGTCACCTGATTCACGAGCCCGTTGTACTACATTAACAAAGGCACGAGGGGTTGGTTGCACTCGATTGGGAAACCGATCCGCATAAACATGTGCCATTTTTTATTTCGTTTGAGCCACGCAACAGATACCACCATTCACTGTCACTGACTGTATACAAATGAATGAGAAAACATCGTTCCAAATTCTTTCGCTTTTTTGTTTCCGATGCGATGAACCGATACGGCGGATTATATCCGTTGTCGCCAAACACGACCACATAATATTGTTATTGAGACAGGGCGGTACTCAAACTTCCAAAGGGCTATAACTTTGTTACTTTAATTTTACCAGGAAAATGGTAAAGGAAAAAAACATTTCTTTTGATCAGATCTACTCACTGTTAAAATAAATGACTCAACTTCGAAGTCACCCTGTATATGCCGGCTTATGCATTTTGATAAGGCTATACAAATCAATTTTTAACATGTCGTTAGTGAAATGTATATTTTTTTTCCTTAGCCATCTTTTCATATGATCCTTCTTAGACCACATAGTAGGACATTTGTCTATCTGAACATTGTGGTACGGAGCGTTGTCTATAACCAAAATACTATTTGGTGGTAGGTTGGGAATCAGTTTATCCTGAAGCCATTTTTTATGGTTACTGCAGTTCATCTCACTATGATAATCACTTGACATACTATTGGATTTAAATTTCAGATACGCATTTTACACGAAACCGTTTTCACTACCATCATGCACAATAATAAATCTTTGTCCTTTTGAAGCTGGCCTGTGAAGGCCCTCATTGGTATTATTGCTCCAACTTATTTCATGCGTATGTGATGTATGGATGTATGTTTCGTCCATATAAATTATAGGACGATTTTATCTCTATATTCTTTCATCCTTCTCAGAAAATTTCTTCTGAGATGCTGAATCTCTGGTTTCTCCATAAGAAGTCTTCTATTAGGTCTTGCCTTACTCCAACAAAATCCCATTGTCCTCATCACTTTCCTCAAAGTTTCATGTGATCCAGTGTAATTGTGGTCTTGAACAAGCTTCTTGTGTATGCGCCGCAAAGTTGGAACCTTCTTTTCCGTTATATAAAAAATCATTATAGATCGACGAAACAATCCTCTAAGTCGTCGAAATCAGATTTTGGAGTGGCTCTTCGTCTTTTTTTGTTTGGTGTCTGCTGCACGCTCCTGAACTTTCTTCAAATCTTTAAGAGGTATATTTCCTTATGTTTCTCGTTGCATAAGGGATATAACGTTTTCCACGACCTCCCTAGCTTATCCTGATAAAGCTTTATGTTGTAATTTGGATTTAAAATCCATTATAAACGCACACCAAGGAATAAATGACGACAATTAATAAAAATTGTATGTACTTAGCCCACGAATTCGTAACAATACATACAATTCACACATAATAAGTAATAAAGCTGTTTCACTGCCTGACAATTTTTCTCCTGACTGTACGCTAACTAGTCTAGACACGACAAGAGACTACTGCTTATTTAAAATTCGCATCTCTACCTACACTTGACGAGCTGTATCAGTTCTGTTGTCGTTATCTAACAATATTAATTGGTCTTGTCGTTATGATAAGAAGGAATCATATCATAAGAAACAGTGGCTGAAAAAATGACAAACGGAACGTGCAGGTTTTCTGAGCTTTATAAGCCCTACGTTACTAAACAGTGTTTTTTCATTTACAACATCCTTTCTATCAAGGAATGATAAGTGCAAACACACTTCAATAGTCGTGAGCTACTGCGATGTATACAGAAAATTGTTCCGCAGTATACTGCCCAACCGTGCGTTGGTTGGTATAGGTAGCCCCACCCAAAACTTTGTGAAATTTACAAGAAAGTTCCCTAAAATATATCAAAACCGCTGCGTGGCATGTTTCCAAGACTTTACCGAGCGGAAACTGATATACATCTAATCCGCTAATATTTAATGTCCCGACATGAATTTTCGTCTGATTTCTCCCGTGCTTTCGTGATAACAAGCTTCACAGACACGGAAGTGCATTTTTATTCAAGACCAGACGATAATTTTCGTAGCATTCCGACCAGACGGAGTCGCGACGACAGGTCTGAGGAATTCATTATTCATAAGACCACAGGGATATTCGATCTGTTGAGAATGAAAGAACAAAGCCTGATCTATTACTACACATAATGTGATAGTATATAATAATCATAAGCGTATTGAGTGCGGAGCTTAGCTTGTACCTATACTAAGTGACATATACGAGTAAATCCGAACACCCAGTTTAAATAATTTTATTTTAATAAAATTTTGTATAAGTACTTAATGAAGCATAATAAGTAAATGATAAAAATTTCAAAATGATTGCACTGCTTTAAAGCCCTTTGACATTTAATAATGTGTGGATGAACCCTGATGTGCTACGCATTCTCCAACGCGCCTAGGCATACTTCTGATCAGGTGGTCAATGTCCTCCTGTGGTATCTCATTCCAGGCAACCACCAACTCCTCTCGAAGTGCTTCTAGAGTCTGAGGACGACGTTGCAAATTGAGCAATCTCCTACCCATCATATCCCACACATGCTCAATTGGGGATAAGTCGGGAGATCTTGGTGGCCATGGTAACAATGTGACATCATTATGTTGAAAGAAGTCTATTGTGACTCTTGCAACATGTGGTCGCGCATGATATTGTTGGAAAGTTGGATCTGCCAGGGTGTCAAGATAGGGTAAAAGATGGGGTTCTAGAACTTCGTGGATATAACGCTGCGCGTTCATGTTACCTCTGATGAAGATTAAAGGTGACCTGGAACCATAAGCTATAGCACCCCAAACCATAACTCCAACAGTGTGGTGAACATGTCTTTCAACAAAAAACTGTGGATTCCTCCTTTCACCACGTCGCCTTCTAACCCTGGCACGACCATCGTGCATGCCTAAACAAAATCGAGACTCGTCACTAAAGACAATACTGTTCCATTCCTGATCCCAGAGTGACCGTTGTCTGCACCACTCAAGGCGATTACGTCGGTGTTCTCGAGTTAAAGGGAGGACCCAGTGTGGCCGGTATGAAAACAAGCCAAAACTTCTCATTCGTCGGTAAACACTTCGCATGCCAATAGGTCTTCCGTGTTCTGCAAAACATTCATTTGCAATGGACCTGGTAGTGGAGAAACGGTCCCTTAAGGTCAATAATCTTAGGCGGCGATCTCCTCGGTCTGTTGCTCTACGGCGGCGTCCAGTGCCCCTTGCTCTTTGCGTACGGCCTTCTCGAAGCCATGCCTGACAACACCTAACCACAGTGTCTACACTTCTTTCGACTCTAACTGCAATTGCCCGAAAAGAAAATCCAGCTTCCCGATGTCCCACTATACGGCCTCTATCAAACTCACTAAGTTGACGAAATCGTACAGGTCTCCGTACTCTAGGCATCGTAACCGATCGTAAAGGATGTCAAGAACCAAAATCCGCCAACGTTGATTCTTTACTGCGGCTGAAATATTCATTTTTAGAGCGTTAGTGAATTAAAAAAAAGCAGTATAAAAACCGGAATGTCCAACTGATAAGGCTGAAAATTTTTTCACTTGTTATTTACAGTAAGATAAATACATTCACCAACTTTTATTAAAATAAAATCATTTAAACTGGGTGTTCGGATTTATATGTCACTTAGTATATTTTGCTACTTAACCCAAAAAAAGTACAAAACATACAATAACTGTTATGAGTTATGAGCATTTGAACTAATAGTAGTATATAGTATTATAGCTATGGCAGATAAAAATTTAATTTTACATGTGAAAGTACATCGAAAATGAAGGACTTTGAGAAGTGAGGGGTCAAACTCTGCTTATCTAAAATAAAAAATTAATTGTTTAAATGGTTTCTCAAACTCATTGTAATTTAGTGATCTTAATACTTCATTATAAAGTGTAAGCGCGTTGTACAGGCATGTGAATTTGTGAAAAGGCATTGTGACTGTATCAGTAAACCATACGTCACTTGAGTGACAAAAATTTCGAGGGATCAGCTTGTTATTTAGAAACGATGGAATCCAAGTAAGCAAGAGCTTATGAGTGTAAGATTTAAGATAACAGGTGTAACTTGTATTGGTCTCTCACCTTCAGTTATCCTAAGTCTCTCAAATAACCGCTATTATGGCCATATTATCTCAAATTATTTATTAATCTCAACATGAGTTCTAAAACTTTTATAAACGTCAAAGATATTGTATCTAAGAATGGATTGCAAACTATATCACACTAAGTAATTTTTGACTTAATTATTTTGAAGGTTTTTGTTGAAGGTTATGATTTTTTGCATACTCAATGGATTTTGTGTCTTCATTGATTTCAAATTCAGCGATTTGAGTATTGCTACTACGGAAGTGGTTATACATTTATCATATACCTAGTCATAAATATTTTTGCAAGTCAGTGTCAACTTCCAAAAACTTTCTTTTTCTTCGTTTTCAACTTTATGATCATTTTAAAGCGTACTTCTATGATTTCTTAGGATTACGATTTAACAAGGCGTCATTTTCTAATGTTTTTAGTTAGGTAATGATGTTCTATTTCCTGAAAGTTAATGTTTCTTATTGTATTCTATCTAATATCACTAATACTAATCCTTGGGAAATGTCTAGAAACATTTGATTGCATGTTTTCAAGTGATAACACTGTAATAGAAATCTCGTCGAATCAGTACAGCGTC